TATCGCCAGATGAGGCCAGACCTTCTTGTGAGCTCTGTCGTGTTCTGGCTTATCCTCCAGGTGAGTTTCTTGCACGCATATTACATCTGGCCAACGTCTCCCTCCTACCTTCCTAAGTTGGTCCCAAATGGCCTGGCATTTTAATGGGTTGTTGGTTGCCAGACCGTTCACGTTAATAGAACGGAGGTCTAGGTCGGTCGTTCTAACACATTGTTTCCAAGCAGAGTTTCTACAGTATAGTGTTTCCAAGTCGGTCATGTGTCAGCCGTGTGTACTGTCTGAGGAGAATCACTCACAAGGGGTGTCATTGCTTGATGTCCCATGTGTCTATCAGCAGGGCTTTCTTTCGCAGGATCCTGCACAGACATCTGCACACATCGTCCTAAGACCAGTAGTCACGAGGTTTGACCTTGGCGCACTGTAGTTCAAGCAGCGCGTTGTGGCTTGCAAGCCGGCAGTTTTATTCGGTTCAAACAGCAAGTACAAATCATTCCTTGCCATCTGTACAGCGGACAGTGGAAAATGCGACATAGCTCCACTTATTGTCCACTGTCCACCTCGCAAATTCGTGAGTTCACTACCAGACGTACTGATAGAACTACAAGACAGGGCGTCCAAAGGATTTTGTCCGCCCGGACTCTAGGGCACTGTCCAAATTCGGGTCCTCACGGTGAGTCCCTTGAAGGACTTTCCAATGAACCAATTTTAAAGGCTGGGAGCTGTACATTCACGGAATGTACGGACAAATTTGGCCCAAAAATTTCCAGGCCGCCGGGCAGTGGGGTCCCACACTTGTTTGGGAAACCGGTATTGTGACGAACTATTTTATGAAAACGTGTGATTTTTTGCGCGAAGCTGCTTGGGGAAATACGACAGGTCGAATGGGTGAGCTGTGGGAAGATGGGTCGGGCGGGCAAATTGTACAACTGTCCTCGTTTCTTTTCATTTTTTGATGGGAGTTGTCGGATCGGTGTCAGGAAGCTCCCATGCCAGCAGTTGGGTAGCGGCACCTTGGCGAGCGCGAGAAATCACTATGCCATAGCTTCTTTCTTGTTCTGCTATGAGCACTGGGAGTTTGGGCACGATCATCACGCGGGAATATCGTTTTCAAATTTTCAACTAATGTCCAGCCCCCACGGGCTCGCGGAATTATTTTTCTCCTCTGCTTTTTCGGAATTTCCTTTTGCAATTAGGACTTAGGCTAGGAATTTAGATACTCTGACTTTTGTTTCGTCGCACTTGCGCGCATCTTGCAGCGCTGGGAACAGGGCTCTGACTGGGTCGCGCTCTTAATTTTGTGTAACTGTCGTTTTTGGTGGGCGCGATTGTAACTGTATTCTTCTTCCTTCTTGATTTCACTGTTCTAATTGGCAAGAGCGCCTGCATGATCGGATCGATGCGTGGAGTGTGGCTACGACCCCCACGCCGCGGCTTGGCCATGCAGACGTAGGCACTTCCTCTCTTTTCCTCTTGTCCACATGGGCTTAATCCCGTACCTTTCGCGCACGCATGCATGCTACAAATTTTGCAAGCACGATTAGTTCACTCTGTAAGAATTTCGAGGTTAGCGTGATCAGTGAGGGTCGGCTAACAAGCAAGTTTGGAAGGTGAGTGAGTGCGAGAGTTGGGCGATCCGACGAGATGGTGTCGGGTATGCGGGATCGTGAGGGGCCGCGATGGACTATGGCGCACGGGCGAACCTGGCTTGCATGCTCGAAACCAAGCGGGGTGACAACTCTTTGTTGATGCGAGGCGACAGACTACCTGTATTGGGAATGTGGAGCAGAGAGAGAGAAAGGAGTTGTGAGTGTGGGATGAGGTTCTTTCTTTTTCTCATCTGTATAATGTTGGCTTCTACTATAGCCGATTTCCGTCGCGGCCTTTTTTTACCCTTCCTTGTAAATCGTCTTGAATTTTTTTTGCTGCTTTGCCTCGTATGTATGCATGAATGGGTGTGAACTCTTCTTTATTAATGATCTTTTTGGATTCCCGATCTTGTTTTGCGATGCTTATCTAATTCTATTCTCCATCTGCATCTGATCGAAAGCACCTGCTATGGATGTCTGGTTTTTCTTGTTAGTCCTTGACCGTCACAAAGCCGCCAAGAACATTGTGAGATGTTGATTGTCCTTCCCCCTTTTTTTTCTCTTTTTCGTCACGTGAATGGTATGGACATGAATGAAACATTTGGATCTCACCGTACATAGCATGAGTAGGATAGTTGCATGTAGGATACGGTCGCTATCACGGCACAGGGAACCCGAGCCTGATTCACCGCCGCTCGGGCGCACGCTCATGTACGACCACGATCTTGAAAATCTTAGTCGGGCGTACGTGCGCGTCTGCATGAGCTGACCCCGAATTTATGGAAAGGATGCGGGAAATTGAATTCATTAGCCAGATATAGTCGACGAAAGTCCGTTTTGGATCACCGATCGTGAAAGACTGAGGGATCCGGAGTACCGTGAGTACTGGGAAGGTGAATAACTCAGACGACGGGCAAACTTGAGAAACCCGGAATTCCCCTGTCTGACAAAGAACGACCGACTGTGAGCGGGGGATTTCCACTGGGCTATATCCCGTGGCCCTAGGGGCCCAGACTACCTAGATACGGACAATACTCAATAGTACATATCCCCGGGCTTCATCGTTATTACTACCTGTTTCCCTCCCTTCACGTCCTCCTTCCATATCACCAGCTTACAGTGGTACCGTGGAATTCCATAGCTCGCTATTGGCCCAGCCCACCGTGCAAGGATTGCCAGCAGTGTCAGACATGCCAAGCTTCAAGATTTATCCGCCGAACTCGAACCGAAGTTGAGCAGCGATTGCACAGCCTCCGCTTACGGCCCGCCCCGTTAGATTCCGAAGCTTGTTACGAGTGGCGCCGACAGCAGCACGACCGCCACGGTGTCCCGTCAATTCACCAGACAAGGGACCGACCGAGGCGACGCCACTGGCAGAGGCCATAGCCCCCTCCCCGAAGGTTGAGACGCTAGATACGATCCGTGCGCACCATTTTGCACCATTGTCCCTAAAACTTGCCACAAGAAATCTCAGTTCCGACCTGGGACTCCACCCCTACTTTCCTAAATTCCTTGGCACACCCCCTTTTCTGCACTTTCAGGCCCCCATCCTACTTCGACCACGAAGTCACGCTGGGCGTGAGGTTGGTATCGGAGCCGACACATGGCGAGCTTATAAGAGAAGTGTGTAGATAAGTCGCACAGTACGATCTGGCAAACAGAGGGCGGGCTAGACAGCGGAACGCGCCGCGACACGATCCTATAGTACTTAGAAACCGATCGGTCGGACGGTCGGCCGCCAATATGAACGCCAATCAAACGCAAAATGTTAATGTACAGGTAGGCGGGGCCCCTGTTCCCTCACCACCCGTCCGAGCTCGCGCCCCCACGGCTCCACCTAATCTGTATCTCTTCGACCCTGCACACCACGTGGCTGGGGCATGGTTAGCTACCTTAAGTGCACAAGAATATGACAACGACGAAGCTCGGATTAACATCCCCGCTAGACTGGGAGGGGGTGTGCATCACTGGTTTAGCACTTACGCCTGGATAGATCTCCCGACCTTTGAACGGGACTTCTTCAACAGGTCGACTATATCCACCCCGAACAAGCCTTCTTTATGATTAAAGACCGAGTTCAAAAGCCCCTCGAGTCTGTCACAGAATATCGCAGTAGATTCTATAGACTGTTTGTCAAATCCAAGAGGGACGAAAATGCTGGGAGGGGTCTATTTATCGATGAGCTTCGTAGTCGGGCGATGAGGGCGAAATTACGAGAGCAATTTTCTCCCATCAATCATACGATGCAACAGATAATGGACGGGGCAGAGGAAATGGAACAGAAATGCGCGACTAGGTTTTTAGAAAGTGAAGATCACGCAAAAGATGGAGACTCCTCGGAACTCGCCAGAGGAAAAGCCGAGCTGGCCGCACTCTAGAACAAATTTGAGAATATGAGTTTTGTCTCCGGTCCGGTCACTTACCTAGAACAGGTTGCAGCCAAGAGAATGTTTTCTGACATGGCTTCAGGATTACCGATTATGGCCACACCCCTGCCTCCCCCGGAAACCCCTGCAAGGCCTAGCAAATCAAATGTGATACTAGAACTAACTCAAACACTTGTTAGCCTAATCCAAGAAAGTAAGAAGGAACAACGTGAGCACAATGCTCGGATCGAATCATTGATGAGATCGATGTGCCCCATTGCAGTTAGAGCAGCACCAATGATGCAAGGCGCAGCCCCCGCTCTAGCAGTGGGCGTGACGGCAACTAACGTAAGTGTTTGTTACATGTGTCATCAACCCGAGCACATAGCCCGGGACTGTCCCCACCGTCTCACACCAACAAGAACCACGCCAACAGCTGCAGCACCAATTGCTAACGGACCTGGGCGGGTGGCCACAATGGTAGAAGAAACCGACAGCGGTGCAAGCCCGTCGGGAGTCACGGAAGAAGCGGCGGAGCTCATCCCGCTCATCAATACATGTCGTTGGGATACCCAGGCCTTGGCATGATAGGGGTCGTCCAACCTGCCCCCGACAATGACGAAGTCTTAGAACGGAGGTCCTCCCTGAGGGAAATGGAATCCGGGGACCCTAGTTCGTTACGAGAGAAATCGATGTGCTAAATATAGTTCGTGTCTTGGATCACCGCATCCCCTTGCCCATCGGACACCTGTTGACCATCTCGGAACAGGCTAATGACCGGATGCTACAACACTGCAAGGCAAACCGGAAGTGATTTGCCTTCACCAAATTGGCAGCCGCAAAAGGAAAAGCTCTCGCTAGAAACCCTAAGCCGGAGGATCCAAGCACCTCCATACCTGTCTGGATGGGCCTAATTCGAAAAAAAGATCACTTTCTACGGATCAAAGCCCTACCGTGGCGATCCGCGGAGTGCAACGTGGAAGTCTGGGGAAATCCCTACAGTGTGGTCCTTGACTCTGGAGCCGCGGTCCTCGCCATCTTCCTACAGGTAGTCGAGAGGGTCGGCCGGCGGAAAGACGTGATTCCTCCCGCGGAGGGCGATCACTTCGTTTCTGCCAACGAAGGTAAGATCCGAGTCGCAGGGAGGATGGCGAACATTGCCTTCCGAATAGGTAAGGTTCACGCCTTGGGCGATGTAGTGGTCCTAAATGTGACCACGTACAATGTCCTCATCGGATTACCAGCCCTCACAGCCTTGCGGGCCACGCTGGATTTCGAACGACAAGCAGTAGTCCTCCGCAACACTGGAGGAAGACCGCACACCATTCCAATGTGCCTCACCCTTTGGTCGACTTTGATGCCGGGGCGACAACGACAGGAAACCGACGGAATCCTATGAACGATAAGGTGGGAAGAATCCACGGACGAATCTGACGTCGAACCCATACTATCATCATCCACATTTGAGAGCGAGGAAGATGCCGATCCTCAAATTCTCGAGCTAACACAATAAAGAGTCTGCTACCCCCTTCAACGGAAAGCGATGAAAACCTTCGTTTTCACAAGGGACGCGGAGTGAACCAGAGCACTGATCATGGGAGAGCCGCTGGTTCAGATATCTCGGTTGGCAGATTTTTGGGAACCCCCTCGAACCATATACGAGGCAACCACCCCATTGTTATCTAGATATCGGGACATGCAGTCCTTCTGCGATATCTCAAGAATTCCTCCCAGGCTCCCAGTTCGTTGCTCACCAGAGGAAAAGAAATCTGAATGCTACAGGAAGGCACAAAAACCGGACTCCGGAACCCCCTGGGCTGTACGACCTCGCCCCATTCGATATTGGACTAAAAGTCGAGTAGAGGGTCGTGGACCTCCAGGATATCGAAGATGGTATCACCCCTGAGAAACACGTGGCAATCAGGGAAGAGGAAGCACAAATGGTTACCACGATCTTTTCCTGGCGATCCAACCATTCCTTTATTTCATCCCCACCCACGAAAAGGACCCCGCGGCTAGGACAAAACAACTACCTATGGCGATACGAGACTGCCACTACGAACTGCATGTGCCGGACTATGTACCAGACGAGATACACAAATTCATCGCAGACATTCTAGCCGAATATCGAAGGGCGATTAGTACAGAGGACACAAATATAGGACTATCCCTGTTCATACAGCACGAGATTCGGACTGACAGTCTGATACCCACCTGCCGATTCACTGTAAATCATACCGGTACTCGTTAGTTGAAAGACGAACCGCTCTGGAGCAGATCAAAGAATTCAAGGCCAATGGTTGGATCGAGCCTGCTACCAGACCGTGGTCCTTCCCCGTGGTTTTAGTCCCTAAAAAGACCGGATCCATTCACATTTGCATCGATTATCGGAAACTGAATGATATCACGATCGAAGATGTGTATCCCCTCCCGCGGATTGATGATTTGCTGGATGTAATTGGGTATGCTAACTACTTTAGCAAGTTCGACATCTGCGATGGGTTCCATCACATATTGTTGAAGGAAGAAAACCGTCCAAAAAAGGCATTCGTACTGTTCGAAGGAACGTGGAAATGGATTCGATGTCCTATGGACATTTGCAATGCTCCGGCTACGTTTCGAAGAGCGATGAACATGACTTTCCAGTATTTCGTTAACAAGACTCAGCTGATACAGGGAATGGTGAACTTTTGCGTTATCGTGTATATGGACGACATCCTGATGTATTCGGAATCATTTCACGGGCATGCGCAGCATATCGAATGGACACTTGGAGCGCTGCAAGATGCGGGCTTCAAAATCGCCCTGGAGAAGAGCGAGTTTTTCCTGTCGGAAATCTTGTTCTTTGGGTACATGGTGACACGAGGGAGCTTGCGGCCGGATTCGAGAAAAGTCGCAGAAGTTCGAGACATTCCAACACTCACGTCGCTGACACAAGTTCAAGCTTTCTTGGGACTGACCTTGTACTATCGTCGATTTATCAATGGTTTTGCGGCAATCGCACGGCCCCTGACGAACCTCTTGCGAAAGGACCAATCATTTAGGTGGGACGGTGAGTGCGAGCAGGCCTTTGCCACATTGAAGGAAGCCTTGGCCACGACCCCTATTTTGATCTGGCTCGACCCCGAGAAGCAATTTGTTCTCATCACGGACTGGCAGCCGGAGGCAATCTCCGCTATTTTGGAGCAAAAGGGGAAAGACGACCGTGAGCATGTTATTGAGTACGCGTCCAGGACAGTACCTGACGAAAGGAGAAACGATTCGGCACCTCAAGGAGAATGTTACGCGGTGGTGTGGGGGATTCAACACTTCCATTCGTATATGTACGGACAAAAGTACCTCCTCATTACGGATCACAAACCCTTGTTGGCTCTCAAGAGACTCACTAATTACACAGGCATGATTGGACGTTGGGCAGTGCGGCTACAGGAGTACGATTTCGACATCGTCCATCAGAAGACGGAAAGGTACGGGAAATCGGACGGGCTAACACGACTGCACCGACCGACCAAGGCTACCAAGGGCGAAGAAATTATCCCGTGGACAGAACCGGAACTAGCCAGTGGGCCGCAGTACGGACAAGTGTCCATCCTTCCACGTACTAAGAAGTGACACGTGACAATTGGTGGTGGAGGTAATTCTGGAGGCCCCCTTTCTCCCCTCTCGCCCTCGTCTCTCCTCTCTTTGCCTGACAGGTTTTGTTACTTCAGCGAGGCAATCTCGCGTGTCTACTTGGTCCCTATGCATCCTAGTGGGGAATGGTACGTCGAATGGGTAGATTGTCAGCACTGTGTCTCCAGGGCCCATGGTTCTTGCATTCGGTATCGAAACTCAGACAAAGCCTGGATGTGTCCCTTGTGCCGGTCCGACATAAGTCCTACGGAAGACCGCTTTTTGGAAGCCATGTCAGAGGGCTTAGAAAAGACCCGTAGGTTTAGAAGGGCCGAGGTATGGACAAATGTTGTCCTAATAGCCACAGTGGTCAGAAACCCCCTCCGAGACTTCACCAAGGAGGACCGTAGAAGGGCTAATGAGAGGGCATGAGACTATCGATGGAACGGCGGACGGTTGGAAAAACGGAAGACCGACGGTCGTGGGATTTGGATGGTCGTGCCCCATCCATTCGTAAGGTATGATTGGGTTAAGTCGGCACACGAAGAGACTGCAGCTCACTTTGCCGTACGGATTACAGAGACGACAATTGACAATAATGAATGATATTGGTCCAATATTCGTGACGATGTTAAATTCATCGTCCGAAATTGTTAGGTCTGCGCCACTGACAAGGCGTCGATTCAGCCGCCTAGATCGATAATGCCCACTGAAGTCGAACGACCGTTTTAGAGGGTTAGCATGGATACGACGGATATCGTCGTGCCCCCTGGGCGGAATAGCTATGAATATTCAATCCTCTTGGTGTTCGTTAACTACTTTTCAAAATGGATCGAGGCCTACCCATATCAGACTAGACAGACGGCGGAAATAACGCGGTATGTTAACCATTTCCTCGGAATGCATCAGGACACCGAGGAAATACTTACAGACAATTGAGCAGAGTTTTGAGGGAAAGTTATGAGGAATTTAGTCATACATGGATTCCGTATTCGTAACACTGCCCCCCATATGTCTCAATCGAACGGTCTCGTAGAAAACGCCAACTAGTTCATCAAAACGACACTCCGACGGAATATCGCGGCTAGGGACACACGACCGTGGCCTGATATTGTGGATCATATATTGGTTGTACATTGAGGAACCCCACATGAATCTACGGGACTTTCGCCGTTTCATTTACGAACCAATAGCCTAGCTTGCATCTCGGTACCGAGCCTAAATGATGAAACAACACTCCGCCGACGTCCCACAAGAGCAACGGACAAGGAAAAGGCAAACGTCATTTGGAGCTTATGGAGCGGGCTCATCCGAGATTGACTCGAGAAAGATAGAGAATGACCGAATTAGCCCACAACCGCCAGGTCCCCAGTTACGAGACCTGAAATGGGAATGCAGGTCCGCGGCCCCAGTATAAATTGGGGGACTTAGGAAATGTGCTCGTCAAGGGAAATTAGTGCCACGATTCTTTGGGTTCTTTTGAGTGATCGAGCTCGGACGTAACGGAGTGAACACCGTGCGCCTCGCTCCCGAAGTGGCAAGCAGTCTGTCAGCTAGACCCATAGTCCGCCACGTGTCCTATCTTCGCCATCTCTCGGCTTCCTCTCCTCCTTCTCCAACTGGATTGCCCTCGGAATCTGAATCCGAGAGGGAAAGCAACGTTACCCATTCTCATTCGTTTCCCCATTCATCTTCTCCCTCCTCTTCGCTATGAGTTTCTCCACGAAATAGGTACTCAATGAGCGGATGCTAGCGCCACGCGGACACATCTCGGTGATCAGACAGGTTCATCATCCGCGTACCCGCCCGGATGTTATCTGATTTTGCTCATTTTTTTTGCACGACAAGCGTGCATGCAGCAGCAGAGTTCCGATTCGTAATACCCAACAACGAGGCGCAAGTGTTGGCCGAAGCATCGGCCTTTCTACGGCTCTCGGCGGCCGGACCAGCCACATCTCGAGAGTTGTCTCCTTTAGTGGAGACATTACTACGGTGGATCCGAGGGCACATCGGAGCATCCTCATCTCGTGGCGAGATTGGGGGGAAGAGTTGGCGAGTTCTTGGAAAACGTCGTCAATACTAACAGTATTGACCTCGACGGCATCCACGTTCTCCGACACAATCCCGCAATACCTCTCCCTGCGCTCACCGCTTTCTCGCGTCCTCAATGAACCATCACAAAATCTCCACCTTCAGCCTCCCCTCTGTCTTCCCTGTCTTCTGGCAGTCGGTGCTCCATCCTCGCCTCTCTTTCTGCGTACGACCGATGACGGTTCCTCTCATTAATCCCGAGCAGTGGCAAGGGTGGTGACAAACTTATGCGACTCTGACTCTGTGTTTAGTCGAGATCAGACTGAAGTGGACCAGGGACAGTGAGCACCCCGCCGTGAACGAAGACGTAGAGTTACTTATCATTCAAGCTTGGAGAACAGGGGTTGAAGGAGATTTGTTGGGATTCATCTTCGGATCTGTGGAAGCGGGACATCGACAATCGATCGTGAGGGGGCGTCTAATCCTCCTGACGCAGTTGCTGGACGATCTACCAATCGACATCGTCTCGCACTGCGACGAGAGTCCGTCGCCGCATATTCTTTCGTGCAGCCTGACGTTGTATCTTCAGTGGTCGGTGTGCTTGGAGGGAAATTGGGACAACCGTAGTTACCCGTCACACAGTAACTACCTAAACCCCGTAGAGATAATCGATCTTCTCTTCTTGGATCGAGGTGAGCCGACGTCGGAAGAAGAAGAAGATAGGGAAGAGGGAGACGAATCGGAAGATACCCCCGAAGAGGACGGGTATTATAGCGAGCATAGTGAGCATGAGTCGCGGGCAATAAGCTTGGGACTCCACCCTCACTTTCCTAAAATCCTTGGCACACCCCCTTTTTCGCACTTCCGGGGCCCCATCCCACTCCAACCAGGAAGTTGCGTTGGGNTGGGACTCCACCCTCACTTTCCTAAAATCCTTGGCACACCCCCTTTTTCGCACTTCCGGGGCCCCATCCCACTCCAACCAGGAAGTTGCGTTGGGCGTGAGGTTGGGGCGTCACAGTATGGAAAGTCCTTTTGGAAACAAATTTCACACCCTACAGTGTATGGAGGCAGGTCACCGAAATGCTGACGGCGGCTTTTTTTTTTCCTTTTCCCAATAGCCCTTGTGCAACCCCTCTATCCCAGTGCTGATGAGAGAACAAGCAGAATTGCGGGTTTGTCTGACGGCCTGCTCCATCTATTGGTGGGAAGGGACACCTGCCCTAAAGGAACTATGAGAGCTGCTTGGAATCGCTACCCTTGGACTGCTGAAAACTTGTGAATAGAGGACCTACACACCGCCCCGGATTGCAAAGACGCAAGTATCCACACCGACGACTGTTATAGGCGCAACCTTGCACCGCCAACACCGCCGAGCATCTTATGAAGGCGTAGACCTCATCGACATGGGTGGCGAGACACCTGGGAAGAGGAAGCAAGCAAGGAGGAAGAGGCGGAACAGGCGGTGACACAGGGAGAGGACCCTGCGGAAGCAGAACGGCAGAGGGCAGAAATAGCGGAAGGAAAGCAGCCACTAGAGCAATTGGCGGGAACTGAATTGCCAGTTCCGGACGATCCGACGAGATACCTGGAGCCGCCGACAGAGGAAGATGAGCGAGCGCTGCGCTGCAGAGACTTCGAGCGCGCCTACGCGGAGGCAACGGAGCCGCTCCCCCTCCCCTTCCCCCCGTCCCTCAGTTCGAGCACGTCCCGATGCGGGGCATCGGGCTACGTCCCTGGTCATTATCCCGTCGTCCCCTTGATTACCTTACACTCTACCAAATCGATACCCCACTTGCGTTTCTCCAAAATCCCTGCCCCTCTTCCCTCTTCTACCATTTCTACACTGCCCGCCTCGCCACCAAACTGTACCCACATCCCACTACTCAGTGCGTCTTCCCCTCCTTTTGCCTTCACGTCCTTTTTTTTAGCGCCGCGTGGCGGGATCACAATGAAATCGAAGTCTACTACACTATCACAGGACCTATTCCTGTGTGGGTAGATCACGAGCAATTCTCTTCCCTATGGCAGCCATTGTTTCCCGCGCATACACCGCACCGCCAGGTACCTTGAACTTCCCCGGACGGTAGAAGGAATGACGAGTTTCTTACCCACACTCCCGAGAGAACATCCCCCACCCCCCGCCTGTGTATGCCGACTCCCTTACCCCCCTCCCTCGGGACACTCGAGATGGGTGCAAGGATCGTGACGTGTCAGCAGGATGACTTCCACATTCTTCTCCTACGGTAATGGCACTTGGACCTTGAAGAGATATGGGTGCAAGCAGGAGCTTGCACAAAATTGGAACCCCCTGGGGGTCACATATGTGACAAATTGTTTTATGAAATCGCGCGATTTCCTGCGCGAAGTTGCTTGGGCAAATACGACGGGTCGAATGGGTGAACTGTGGGAAGATGGGTCGGGTGGGCAAATTGCATAAATGTCCTCGTTTCTTTTCGTTTTCTGTTGAGAGTTGTCGGATCGGTGTCAGGAAGCTCCCGTGCCAACGGTTGGGTAGTCGCGCCTTGGCAAGCGTGAGAAATAACTGTGCCATAGCTTCTTTCTTGTTCTCCTGTGAGCACTGGGAATTTTGGCACGATCGTCGCGTGGGAATATCGTTTTCAAATTATCAACTGTTGTTGAGCCCGCACGGGCTCGCAAAATTGTTTTTCTCTTCTGCTTTTTCGGAATTTCCTTTTACAATTATGACTTAGGCTAAGAATTTAGGTACTCTGAATTTTGTTGCGTCGCGCTTGCGCTCATCTTGCCGCGCTGGGAACAGGGCTCTGACTGCGTCGCACCCTTAATCTTGTGTAACTGTCGTTTTTGGCGGGCGCGATTGTAAATGTATCCTTCTTCCTTCTTGGTTTAATCGGGTTTACCCGCCTTCTCCTTCTTCCTCGCCGCGCATACTCTGTTCTAGTTGGCCGAAGCGCCTGCATGACCGGATCGATGCCTGGAGTGTGGCTACGACCCCCACGCCACGGCTTGGCCATGCAGACGTAGGCACGTCCTCTCTTCTCCTCTTGTCCACCTAGGCTTAATCCCACACCTTTCGCGCAGGCATGCATGCTATAAATTTCGCAAGCGAGATTAGTTCGCTCTCTAAGAATTTTGAGGTTAGCGCGATCAGTGAGGGTCCGCTAACAAGCAAGTTTGGAAGGTGAGTAAGTGCGAGAGTTGGGCGATCCGACGAGCTGGTGTCGGGTATGTGGGGTTGACATGTGGGGCTGGGACGGCTTGTGCCTCACGAGCGAACCTGGCTAGCATGCTCGAACCAAGCGGGGTGATGTGTTGATGCGAGGCGACGGACTGCCCCCATTGGGAGTGTGGAGCAGAGAGAGAGAGAGTCGTTGTGAGTGTGGGATGAGGTTCTTTCTTTTGCTCGTCTACATAATTTTGACTTCTGCTATGATCGATTTCTGCCGCGGCCTTTTTTCACCCTTCTTTGTAAATCGTCTCGAATTTTCTTTGCCGCTTTTGCCTCGTATGTACGCATGAATGGGTGTGAACTCTTCTTCATTAATGATCTTTTCGAATTCCCGATCTTGTTTTGCGATGCTTGTCTAATTCTATCCTCCATCTGCATCTGATTGAAAGCACCTGCTATGGATGTCTGGGTTTTTATTATTAGTCCTTGATCGTCATAAAGCGCCAAGAACGCTGCGAGATGTTGATTGTTCTTCCCCCCTTTTTCTTCCCTTTTCGTTACGTGAATGGTATGGACATGAATGAAACATCTGGATCTCACCGTACATAGCATGAGTAGGATAGTTGCATGTAGGATACGATCGCTATCGCGATACAGGAAACCCGAGCCTGATTCACCACCTCTTGGGCGCACGCTCACGTACGACCTCGATCTCAAAAATCCAAGTCGCAGCGTACGCGCGCGTTTGCATAAGCCGACCCCGAATTTATCGGAAGGATGCGGGAAATCGATTTCATTAGCCAGATATGGCCGAGGAAAGTCCCTTTAAGATCACCGATCGTGAAAGACTGAGGGATCCGGAGTACCGCGAGTACTGGGAAGGCGAACAACGCAGACGACGGGGAAACTTGAGAAACCCGGAATTCCCCTGTCTGATAGAGAACGACGGACTGTGCGCGGGGGATTTCCACTGGGCTATAACCCGTGACCCTAGGGACCGAGACTGCCCACATACGGACAATACTCAATACTACATATCACAGGGCTTCATCGTTATTACTACCAGTTTCCCTCCCTTTCACCTCCTCCTTTCATATCACCAGCTCACAGTGGTACCGTGGAATTCCATTGCTCGATATTGGCCCAGCCCAACGTGCAAGGATTGCCATCAGTACCAGACACACCAATCTTCGGGATTTATCCGCCGAGCTCGAACTGAAGCTGAGCAGCGATTGCACATCCTCCGCTTACGGCCCGCGCCGTTGGATTCCGAAGCTTGTTACGAGCGGCGCCGACAGCAGCACGACCGCCACGGTGTCCCGTCAATTCACTAGACAAGGGACCGACCGAGGCAACGCCACTGGCAGAGGCCATAGCCCCCTCCCCGAAGGCTGAGATGCCAGATACGATCCGTGCGCACCATTTTGCACCATTGTCCCTAAAACTTGCCACGAGAGATCTCAGTGAACATGCAACATTGATCCTCCATGCTTTCAGAGAAAGAACCACGTACATGTCCTACCACCGAACAGCGCCCTGCCGCGCCCCCTGACCCACCAAATTCACAACCCCACCCCACACCCCCCCCATCTGACCTTGGGCGTGCTTCTCAACCCGGACAGCAGAAGACTCCATGTCCGGAGGCATCCAACAACAACGCTGTGATGACCAACCTCATGCCCAGCGCGACTTTCTGCTTTCAGAGTGGGAGGGGGCCCGGAAGTGCGTAAGAGGGGGTGTGCCAAGGATTTTAAGAAATTGGGGGTGGAGTCCCAGGTCGGAACTGAGATCTCCAGTGCCAAGTTTAAGGACAAGACCGTAAGTGGTTCGGCAGGCGAATGGACTTTCTGTCTTGCTTGCTTCGGGACCGGTCAACTAGAGTCGTCGACCCTGCCGCCGCTGCCGGTTTCATACACTGTGCATGTAGGGAACAGAGTGGGTACCCCACCGGCTGCCGCCGGTTTCGTACACTGTGCATGTAGGGAACAGAGTGGGTACCCCCCCGGCCGCGTGGAATTCTTCAAGCAGGGGGAGGTACTGGTGGTTTAATTAAAAACCAAAGAACAAAATGCAACCAGCCAAAATGAGCATTTCTGTTTGTTGTTTTGTAGAGTATTTCGTTTTCTTTTTTTCCTGTCATCAGGCTGTGGGGCTTGGGGCGACAGTATCTGGGTGAGCCCAGGGAAAAGAAAAAAAAAAAGAAAAAAAAACACCATTCTTTGGTGGTGCGGGGCCAAATGACCGCCCGGTAACGTTCAAGTGACGGTGCCGGTCAGGTTCACAGTAAAGGCACTGGGGGAGAGGCCCTCAATTAGGTTATAGAAAAGCCACAGGAAATCCTATTTAAAAGAAACACATATAAGAGCCCGGGGACGTCACAATTCAACCCGGTTCTGAGTCTCGAGTCCATAGCCAGACCAACCTGGCTGAAACACAAGCTTTGAGGCTTTACCACTTCACACCACCTGCCGGACCAACCTGGCATCAACACAATCTACTTCTAGATAGAAAGCAGCGGACGACCCCTCATTCGCATCCGACCCCTCCTGACCCTGCCCTCGAGTGAAGCATTTCCAGTTTTCCACAGTACCTTCCACAAGGGTACTCTGTTACTGTTACTCCGTTCCCTTGCCCCTACCCCGTGAGGCTGTGAGCTGACGTCCGTGCCTCGTTGATAGGTTGCATGCGAACCCGCAGTCCATCTCTGCAGGTAGAAAAAATGCGCGGCCTGACGCAGAGAAATAATGCACGGCCTGACGCAGAGAAGCCTTGGCCATGCAGAAAGCTTTTGCATCGATGAAGAACTTCTCTCTGCCACTTGTCATGCCCAGTTTCCCGCGGCAGGGAGCTGACGCGGAATCTTTCCACGTCACCCTGACCCACCGCAATGGGCCGCATTACAGTCGGACCATGAGCAACAGCCGGGCGGGGAAGAACGTTTATTCCTCAATAAACAACGCCCGGCAAGAACGCGGATTCCTCATTAATCAGCTCGTGTCAACAATTTTTTTCTTTTTCTTTTTTGTGGTTACCTACAAACAGTTTACTTCCACTCGCTGGTGCGTGGCAATCAAGGGCTCATGGGCCAGTTTTGCAATTAACGGCTCAGGGCACAACCGCCCCTCAGCTAGTTTATCGCTACCGTGTGTGCACCACTGATAGCGGGACGGCTCGGGATTGGGTGGTGGCTATCGTCTTCAGACTTTTGATGTGGCAAATCATCAAAGGGCAATCAAGGGCGCATGGGCCAGTTTTCAGTTGGCAGTTCACGGTGAACGAGCCGACCACTGATTGCATGGTGATGTGATTTGATGTGGTGACTTGTCCCCCATCCCCGCCAGCTAACACGTAATAAAGCCCCCCTGCGTAGGCTGGGTTTCCTGTTCCTTTTCAGACTTCTTTTTTTTCTTTTTTCTCTTTTTTCCCCCCCTCCTTCCGTGTACTAGTGTGATGACGCGTGCCTGGTTGATGAAGACAATGCGTTTTCCTGAGAGAAGGAACGTCCGTGCGGCATTCTGTGACATGAGAAGTCGGCACGTGCGCTTCCTCGTGGTGTGCGTATTCGTCTTCTCCTTTTTCCTGATCTTAGCTGCCATGCTCCGCAGATTCTCATCGTTGGCTGTGATTTCGAATTCCGATGCGCACGTGGCTGGTCGCCTTCTGCAAGCGCCCACATCGGCAGCCCCGCCATCTCTTCCGTTCGTATCACGGTTCGGATACCAACGGGGACTCTTGGTCAGCAATTCGGTACTGGTCGTCGCTTCACATCCATCCGCGACACAGCATTGTCGGAATGTAATCGCGAACCTTGTGGTTTCGCCTCAGAAAGGGCTGTACTATGTCGTCGAGCACACCTGCACACACAGCAACCCATACACTGTCAGCGGTGTTACGTCGATCAGAAAAGCTAACTTATCGAGGGCAACCCGGGAACCGGACTCGGCGGATGACGAATCAACATTATTAACCTACTTGTGGTCTTACGAAGAGCGGAACGAGTCCAGAATTGCAAAACGGCCAAATTCTACGGCTTTCGTGAGTGGGATGGCCCTTTCGAGAGATGGTTCCCATGTCATCTCGAGTGTAGCCTACTCTTCCGGAGACTCTTCTGATCCTAACAATGTTCGCCACAACAACAGCATCACGTCGTTGTCTGTTTCTGACTCCTCCCGTCTTTCTATCTCTACAGGGTCCTTTAGGTTTATTAACAAAATCGGCTTGGACCCTTCGGGAGAGCGTCTGGTTTGTAGGCAAGCTTACTCTGGACTCGAATACATTTGGGTCGATAGCTCGGGACTATCGTCGGATGTATCATTAGAATTACACAGCGATACGAAATCTCCGTTTAGACACGTAGATCGAAATCACGTTGTTGACGCCATTTTCCAATCTCACAGCTTTGTGAACAGTTGCCTTTATTTCTCGCAGATAGATGGGACCCAGGCGTTCGGGTTTCACCCGTTCACCGGGGGGACCGGACCCACAGTGATACTGCCCTTAACAGTCAAAACGGACGGTACCGATGATGTTGTGGTCACTCGAGACGGGTGTCATCTCTTTTTTACCCTAGGGTCTCGTCTTTATAGTGCGGACGTCCGCACACAATGCTCTCGGGTAGAAAATGAGGTTTTTGAGATAGACTACCCATGGGTAAGACTTGGACTGGCATTGATGCAGAATGAAGTGGGGAAGGACACATACTTATACTTGGGCTCTGACAACGGGTTGCTTTTTGAAGTGCAGTTGAACAGGTCTGCCAGAGACTGTGTATTAGAAGCGGAACCAAGCAAACCCTTTGCAATTGGACGTCTCATCACTGTTCTGGTAACAGCTGTGGTGGTTGGCACAGTGGTCACCATGGTAATCGTTGGCAGCTTGATGTGCCTACGGCGGAGAGCGGGCCGCCGACCAGCTGGTCCGGAACGTCCCCTGGAAGTCGGCGAACAAGCGACGTCATCTTTAATGGAAGATGAAGCGTTGGACGCGTGGGGAATTAAGCCGTCGCGGGTCAAGCAGTTCGCTTTCAGATTCCTGTCGGAATGTACGGACAAATTCAGCGAGGGTAGGAGAATTGGGGAGAAGGGAGCGTTTGGGAAGGTTTACAGAGGATCGCTCGACGGCGAGGAGGTCGCGATGAAGGTGATGACGGGTGAGCTAACGGACACCAAACGGAGCCAGTTTGTGGCCGAAGTGAACCTCAGCGGGCTCAATCATGAAAACCTCGTACGACTAGTCGGGTACTGCCTCGCGGGCGATCACTGCACTTTGGTGTACCCGTTCTTCAGAGGAGGCAGCCTGCACGGGCGACTGTCGCCCAAGGCCGTCGGTGGGAAGGATGCAAAAGCGCCCGAGGCAGGCCAAATTGTCGAGAATCCATCGGGACGTGACGAGCAGCAACATTCTGCTCGGCGAGGGATCTGGAGAGAAGCTTCACGTCGTCGTTGCGGATTTCGGCTTAGCAGCCATCGGGGAGAGAGTATTGAACACCGGACATGACCACATTGTGACAACCTCTCACATCGGCGGCACTTTCGGGTATATGTCGCCCGAGTACAAGCTGAGAGGAGAGCTGTCTGAAAAGAACGATGTGTACTCGTATGGGGTACTCGTTCTGGAGCTGTTGACAGGGAGGAAGGTGGCCTCGCCGGCTCCTTCTGGGTTGGGATGGCAGACGCTCGTCGGGTGGGTGAAGCCTTTCCTTCGAGGGGCAGTCGTCCCGAGCGAGAGTATGGAGATGCCATACCCGATACTCGATCGGTGCTTCTGGGATCAGGTGGCTGAGGAGTCCATGAAGAAGATGGTGATGAACACATTCCAACTGGCTTGGCAATGCGTCCAAGAGGATATGGGTCCCGACCGGCTATGAGAGAAATCATTCAGCGCATTCACAGTATGTTCCTGGACGTGGGTTGGGATGGCCTGACGGTTATGATGGTGGACCTAGAAAACGATGTGGATGATGATGCGGTAACCGCTACACGAGGTCTCAGGGAAGGATGAAGTTATGTTAAAAGCGGATTTAAGCAGGTTTCCTGACCAGGCCTTTTGTTGAGGACTGCCGTTCTCTCTCTCTCTCTCTCTCTCTCTCTCTCTCTCTCTCTCTCTCTCTCTCTCTCTCTCTC